GGGAGCTGAGTGTGATATAGCATGAAGACTTGGAGAATTAAAGTCAAGTCCCATATCTGAGACCTTGGGTAGATTAAGGATAAGTTTATGTTTTGGATAAATCCCTAAAAAAGAGAAATCATGGGAAAAATAAGGAGGTTGTTCTGAAAGTCGTTGTGAGGTGGTAGAATCTAGGGAACTTGTTGAAAGAAAGGAGTGACTTGAGGTTGGAATTTTCTAAGGTGATAGATTGGTACTTAATTGATTTTTTTTTAAATTTGTCATGTTTTTGGCTAAATTTACTCAGCAAATTAGATTCCCACTTAGCAATGTCTACACACATTGCTCACTGACATCGGTTACAACGTCCACAGTGTGGTAACATTCTCTTTATTCTGTGTCTAATGAATGGTTCTGCTTCTAATAATCTTATTTTTCTTGTCCCTGTCCCCTTCTCATCTTTAGTATAAATGATTGACTGCTTAATCTCATATAGATGATTTTCCAACAGGGCACAGTCCTCAGAGGAAATATTCTTTATTTTATGAGCCAGTTTGTTATTTTGCTAACAGATGACCTCATGGAATAGCTTCAGCTTAAGTTTAATGTGTATCTCAGAGCAATGGTCTCGGGGTGTTCTCTAGTCTCAACTGGTTCAGTAAGTCTGGACTTCTTAAGAATTTTTCAGTTCTGTTCCAGATTTTTCTTCCATTCTATCCAGATCCATATATCGCAGTTCCTGATCAGAGCAGTAAATAGTGGTAATCAAACACTATCTAATTCTTCTAGTAACAGGGTAGATGAGGTGGTGGCTTGTATAGACTATTGGTCCTGTTCTGCTATTCATTTGCATAAGGCAAATCTGCTGCACAAGACCTCTTTAAAATGTTCAAGAGCAAAGATGTCAGCTTAGTGACTAAGGTGTGCCTGACCCAAGCCATGGTATTTTCATTCGACACCTGTGCATTTGAAAGTTGGACAGTGAATAACAAAGATCATAAAAGAATCAATACATTTGAATTATGGTGTTGACAAAAAATATACCAATGGGTATCAGAACAACACACAAATCTGTCTTGGAAGAAGTTCAGCAAAAATTCTCCTTAGAGGTTAGAATAGCGAGATCTCATCTCTCATACTTCAGACATGTTCTCAAGAGGGACCAGTCCTTGAAGAAGGATGTCATGCTTGCTAAAGTGGAGGATCCATGAAAAAGAAGACCCCCCAATGAGATGGGACTGACACAGTGAGAGCAACCAGAGGCTCAAATGTACCAGCATCTGTGAGGATGGTACAGGACCGGGCAGGCAGGGTTTCCTTCTGCTGTGCATAGTCGCTATGAGTCAGAACTGACTCGACAGCACCTAAAAACATTAGTCCTGTAGACTAGTTTCTTCTTTGAGTCTTAGGCTTCCTTCTTTTTTGTTCCAGAGACCAACAGTTGTGTCTCAGATGGCCATTTTCAAGCTTTGAAGATACCAGGCTTACACTAAACTAGGATGTTGAAGAAGAACTTCATGAGTTCTATTACGCTAATTGGCCAAGTTGCCCGATGCTATGGTTTTATCTTAGTTCTCTGGTGTTGCTGTAACAGAAATACCACAAATGGATGACTTTAACAAACAAATTTATTTTCTCATAGCTGGTGGTGGCTTGGTGGTTGTGTGCTGTAGAGTTCCAACTCGCAGCGACCTTGTATAGGGTTTCTGAGGCTATCAATGTTTTGGGGAGCTGAAAGCCTCCTCTTTCTCCCATGGAGCGGCTTGTAGATTCAAGCTGCTGAACTTAGCAACTCAGCTCATTCACCTACGCTACCATAGCTTCATTTTCATAGTTTGATGGTGGTGGTGTTCCATGGAGTCGATTCTGACTCATAGTGACCCTGTAGAGGTGTCCAAAGCTGTAAATCTTTACAGAAGCAGAAAACCTCATCTTTCTCCCATGGAACGGCTGGTGGATTTGAACTGCTGGCCTTGAAGTTAGCAGCTTGACTCGTAACCACTCTGCTACTAGAAGCCCGAATTCATAGTACCAGCTCTAGGGGAAGGCTTTCTCTCTGTGTCCGTTCTGAAGGGAAGGTCCTTGTCTCTTCAACTTACGTTTCTTGGTTCCTTGGAAATCGCTACGTGTTTTAGCATCTGTCTTTATCTTTATCTCAAAAGCAATTGATTTAAGATACTCTCCTGGTGTGGCGATTTGGGCCAGTGCATCAGAACGGCAAAGTCATTTGAACTGCAAGGTCAGCAGTTCAAGCTCACCAGCTGCTCCTTGGAAACCCTATACAGGCTCGCTATGGGTTGAAATCAACTCGATGGCACTTAACAATAACAACTATAGGATTCTTCCTTACAAATATAACAAAGACAACCTGTTCCCAAATGAGATTATAACCACCAGTATGGAGGTTAGGATTTATAGCACATGCTTTTGGGAGACACAATTCACAATTCAATCCATAACATTCTACCCTTTGTTGTTCTTGTTAAGTGCTGTCAAATCTGTTTCAACTCATAGCGACCCTGTATCGGGATTCCAAGGAGTCACTGGTGGGTTTGAACTGCTGACCTTGCAGTTAGCAGTCCAGTGCTTATCCCACAGAGCAACATCAGAACTCCCAAAATTCATGTCTTTGCCACATGCAAAATGCACTCACCTCATCACAGACTCTTTAAGATTTCAAACCCAGAAAACCAATCCTATGAGGTGTTTGGTTATGTCTAAGAAGTATCCATAAATGTGCCCATATGTGTTTTATTATCTATCTAAATATATATGCATGTACTCACACACTTGTGAATTCATATATACATATGGTGGTGGTGGTCATTGTGTGCTATAGAGTCACTTAGCAACTCTGTATGGGGTTGCCAAGCTGTAAATCTTTACAAGATCAGAAAGCCTCATCTTTTTTCCACAGAGTGACTGGTAGATACAAACTGCTTACCATGTGGTTAGCAGTCCAACTCGAAATCCACAGTGCTACCAGAGCTTCTTACGTATACATGTGGTGGTGGTGGTGTGCTGTGGAGTTGGTTCCAACTCATAGCGACCCTGCATAGGGTTCCTAAGGTTGTAAATCTTTACGGGAGCAGAGAACCCCACATTTCTCCCACAAACGGCTAGTAGTTTCGAACTGCTGACAATGAGGTTGGCAGCCTGACTTATAACCACTATGCTATGCATACATATATACATACCTAGTGTGTGGCACAGTAGGATAAGCACTGAACTGCGGGTCAGCAATTCAAAACCACCAGTTGCTTCCCAGAAACCCTATACAGGGTCATTATGAGTCGTAACATACTTGATAGCACTTAACAACATACAAATATATACATACATCTGTTGTCACATATATATTTTTTGGTTGTTGCAGAATTATGAAATAGTATTGTGGTTGTTTTGTTTTTAGAAGACTATTTTATATAGATAGTGATATATACTTATGGATGAAATGGTATCTGGGAATTGCTTTAAAATGATGCAAAAGTTGGGAAAGTATTTAGAGACAGAGATGAAACTAGATTGGTTGGATGTTTGCTGAAGCTGGTTGGATGAGTTCCTGAAGGTTCATGATACTATTGTCTTACTTTTCTATGTATTTAAAATTTTCCAAAATTAAATGTTGTAAAAATTAGCAATGATGGTGGGACTAAATAATTTGTCTTATTTTGATATTAAATAAAACACCTTTGTTATTTCACCATGAAGGATGATATTGTGTGTTGACTGAACAGCCCTTCATGTTGAGAAGCTATCCTTCTATTTCTAATTATTTAAGTCAAAAGCGGATGCTGAAAAACATTAAGTGCCTTATAAATATCTTGAGATTATTATGTGTTTATCTTATTAGTCCTATTGTTATAAGGTAGTCTTATTGTTCTTAATAGGAAGCCCCCTTGTACTTCTCAGAAAAACCCTACAGGTGGCTCTTCTTTCATTCAGCAAATCTTTACTGAGCAGCTGGTAAGTGTGCCAGCCCTGTGGTAGGCATGGGGGACAGGCAAGTCCATGCTTGTTCTCCTGAAGCTGATTTCTAGTGGGGGAGGTAGACCGCCACCATGTAAATCAGTACATTTCAGGAGGTGGTAAGGCTGTCTCTGGCATTCTTACTGGCAGAGAATCTAGGTCTCCGAGTCAGGGGACCATGGGAGTATGGAGGATGTTTAAAGTACTGCTACTTTCTTCCTGGTGTGGTGCTGTGGGTTAATGCGCTGGATTGCAAGGTCAGTTCAAACTGCAGGGTCAGTGATTCACGTTCACCAGTGCTCCTCAGAAACCCTATAAAGGGTCGCTGTCAGTCAGAACCGACTTGATGGCACTTAACAATAATGGTGACAATTTTCTTCTGAGTGGGTGGACTGTACTTTTCATGAAGACAAATTTTCCTTAGTTTAGCTTCCATCAGTTTCAAGTTTCATGATCATTTTTTCCACATCTGGCCAGAGTTGAGTGTCAGAGTTGATGTTTGAGGTTGTTTGGGTGTTCCCTTGTACTTCTGTGGCATTATTTGTATTTTAGTCTTAAATTCAGAGAGTTGTCCTCCTGGGATTGTGAGGCAAACACCGTTTGCACTAGAACCAAGTGTTTGTGTGTATGTGTGGGCGCGTCATGGTTTCATTTGTGTCAATTATTCTGTTAATAATTGTATTACTTAATCTACTTGAAACAAAGATCATTAGGAATTAAAACTATTTACAGATGTTCTGCGTAACAACCAACACTGAACTGATTGAGCATTTATTCTGTGCTCATTAATTCTCACAATCAGCTTAAAGGGTAGTGTTCACAGCCTTGTCTTGTGGTTAAGATCTTTAGAGATCTTTGATATCTTTGTCCACAAAAGAGATAAAAGAACTGCTTCAAAGACCCACTGTGTTACCACGAGGAGAATCTGGAATTGGAACCCAACAGCCTCGCTCCAGAGGCCACATTTGTAACCATCACACCACAGGCCTGTTTGTAATCCAGTCCCTCAGAAGGTGATTTCTAACAGGATGACCTTTTCTGTTATGTTTCAGGTTTTGCTGATATTTGCGAAGGAAGACAGTCAGAGTGATGGATTCTGGTGGGCTTGTGACAGAGCCGGCTACAAATGCAATATTTCTCGAACTCCCGAGTCAGCCCTCGAGTGCTTTTTAGATAAGCACCATGAAATTATTGTCATCGATCACAGACACACTCGAAACTTTGATGCAGAAGCTGTGTGCAGGTACCTTACCAAATTGAATGTGATTAGTAAACATCCATTTAATAACTAAGAATGAACTTCATTCATAGATGTGTTTAGTTGCATCCCAAGTATTTCTGAAATAACGTATTGACGTTTCTAAGCAGTAGATACAGATTTCTGGAATGAAAGCTGTAGCTCCTCTTGCAGATTTCTCTTGCTTTTTTACTTTTCTATGTTTGAGTTGTGCTCAATTTGGAGGCGTGAGCTTGGCTCCACAGGAAATTTCAGGGGAAAACCCCTCTTCCCAGTGTTTGCTCATTTTTCAAAAACAGCATTAAAATTCACACAGTTGTTATTACATAGATACAATTTGGATTGAAACCAGATATTTTAATCATTATTCTGCCTCCAAATGAACATCATCAACATGTGAAATATAAATGTTTCGTTCCCTGACACAGATGGTTAGATCCTACCAAGTGATGGAACAAAGGCAACCACTTTGCAACAACAGAAAATCTTCCAGGGACCAAAGCCCCTTGCTTGTTTTAGAAATGCTTGTGCTCTGGGAGGAAAAGCATGCCTGTTCATAAATAAATGCATGCTCATAGAGTTAGCTGTGATGAACTGATCCATTTATTAAATGTTAGGCCAGGACAGACTCATTAATTAAATGTTAGGCCAGGACAGACTCCAAGTACCACGGAGCTGGAATTTTCTTGAACATCCATTAGTGAAATGAAAGGTGGGGAAGCGACTTCTTGGAATCACTGTAACTTGACAAGAAATTAGTGGCTTAAGATAACTTTTCCCTCTTAGACAATGCTTTTGCTGCTCATTGATTCTTTGCTTCCAAAGAAGAATTTTTCTTAAGAACCCTACTTTAAAGTATTTTACTGGTCTCACATAAACTATTTATTTATTGTTTTTTTTTTTTTTTTTTGCAACTAATGACCTGCCTATTTAATGTACATATTTAATCATAAAATATTTAGATAGTACTTTTTATATGAAATAATATTATGTGCATTTTGAGGTAAAAGTGGGTCATTTACAGTAAGGTATGCCTTTTTCCTGTGCCTTAATTTACTTTTCAGACAGTATTTTATAGTAGAAGTACCATAGTCTTTTGTGCATAGCTAGAGTTATTTAAGACATACTTCAGCTATAAAAAATTAATGAGAAATCTTATAATTCGGACAAAGTCAGTTTAACCAGATAAGTTTTACATTCTTCCTTAAGTATGTAGGCTCTGTTTTCTAATAAGTGCATCACTGTCTTAGCTACACAGAGAAACAGTGGGTATCCGTGCAGTCAGAAGCCATGTGTACGTAGTTGTCGGTATGTTCACTGACTGTTACTGATTATGCAGAGAGCAGCCAGATTTCCCAGTATGTTACTACCAGCACAGGTTCCCAGGAAGCTGTGTGGGGGCTACACTCCTGACAGATGTACAGCTATTGCCATATATGACTCTAGATCCCTGACTTTGCAGCTAGACTGGACTTTAGCCTAACAGGCTGCCCCTTGCTTTCTTGGACCCCCAGCCTTGCTACCTCCCAGTTACCCCGTAGTCCTCTTGACCAAGAAGAGGTGTAGGTCCCTCTTAGTTGACCTAAGAAATGGAGAAAGAAGGAAGCAGCAGAGAGCTCAACTAAAAATGGAAGCCAATCCCCAAAGAGGCTAAACATGAGGCTAGCCCAGTTATGTTCATTATGTGTTTTAGCTTCTTCTGTAAGGCCCACCCCTTACAATATTGTTGTTGTTAAGTGCCATTGAGTCGGTTCCGACCCATAGCGACCCTGAACATGGTTTCTGAGGCTGTAAATCTTTATGGGAGCAGAAAACCTCATCTTTCTCCCGTGGAGCAGCTGGTAGTTTCAGACTGCTAACCTTGCGGTTCACAGCCCGATTCATAACCACTATGCTACCAGAGCTCCTTACAATATACCGCAGCAGAATACCCTTGACACTTCATTGGGATGGAACAGGCACACTGAAGGTAAGGAATATTTAGTGTTTTCCTGGAGATTAAGGCATGCCTCCCAAACACTATGCATTCTTTCCATTAGGTGCTTACTGTATATCTGCTAAGTGTTCAGTAGGCTCCTAAATATTCAATAAGTGTATATTCACCCTAGCAGGACCTATCCTATAGCATGGACTGAATGGATGGGGGGTGAGGCATATTGAATTCTCTCCTGCCTCTAAGTGAAATCAGGCATTTCCTCCTATGGAACTTGTTTAAATATCATTTATCCATAAGGAAAACTTCACTTTCTAGGAATACAACAGCTGATCATTTTCTTGAGACTTTTGCCCTCATAGAATGAAGTTTCAAAGAAGACGACATGTGGAAGGTACATCATTTTTTTTTTTTTTTTTTTTTGAGAAGGGTTAGGAAACCTTGGATTGTGAATAGAGAATGAAGCAGTGTGTGAGTTGGCTATCTCTAGGAGAGAGGTAGTACAAACACATCAAAAAGTGGAGCAGTGGAAAGGCCAATAGTTAGACAGGAAAACAAACACGCTGGGTTTTACCAGTTACTTAGAAGTACCCTTGAGCCATGCTTGGAGATGGTGGCTCCTTTCTGAGGGATTTCAGAATAACCAAGCGTATAGGTCAAAGCAAGCAGTCATATTTGAAAGTTTCAATTGTGTGTCCCTTTGTTAAAAGTCCCTTCAATTTATGACCCTCTGACCAGAATAAGCCAGTTGTAGGAGTTGTAGGACAGTGCATCTAAGAAGACTCAGAGACTTCCAAATTCAGCATCCTTATGTACTTTGATTTTTGTTATATTCCTAAGGAATATACATGCCAATCATAGTTCAACAAATATAATTACAGTGGCAGGAACTATGTTACCACATTTCTCAGCTCCAGCTGATGACCCAGTTCTTTAGAAGTATTTGTGCACAAACAACAATACAATAGAAGAATGGAGACAACTCTTTGTGTACTGTCTTTAATAGACTTTACCTTGCATTTGTATACCCAGTTGCCAGCAAATGTTTTGATCTTTATTTTAAGGTTAACTTTCTGAACAATCTACTATTTTAAAAAGGGTAGAATCCAGCCTGATTAGTTCCCCAAGTATAAGCTGATAACCTGAGGATTGTAGGACTGCCTTTTTTTTTTTTTTTGCAGAGCAGAATTTCAATCAGAAACATGGAATTTCAGTGGAATTTGCCAATTTTTGCAGTGGAAAATTGGCAGGTCTGACCTGTTGGATAATTGCCTTGGAGTTTAAAAAAAAAAACAAACTAAAAACTATATATATATAGTTTTGGGTTTTTTTGTTTTTTTTAAATCAATAAAACCAAAGCGATTGTCCTAACTAACCCACAAGGGCATCTTTGTTGTCTTCCATGCATTTTCAGATTTTTTCATTTAAAGACAAGTTTGATTTTGTACCATTTCCAAAGTGAATAAATTCCACTCTTTAACAAATGTAACAAAGCCTAGATCACCTTGTTTGATGTGGAGCCTTCTCGTTGCAGGTCGATCCGGGCCACAAATCCCTCCGAGCACACGGTGATCCTTGCGGTGGTTTCACAAGCGTAAGCACACCCTCCCACCCCTAGCTGAAACAGCATCTGAAACATATGTCTGATGTCATCTCGTCTCTGAGCTTGCAGAGCAGTAGATATTTCTTTGTCCTTACAATATCCACCTTTGCCCTGCATTGGGGAGTTTTGTTTGTTTCACAAATTTCTGGAAATAGTATTAAAAAAAGAAAAATCTCTTTATCATATTCCATTGCTAATAGCACACGCTCTCATACACTTAGGAAAAAAGGTAGTTTTTCATTTGTTACAAATGAATACAAAAGCTGGACCGGAGGAGGTCTGGAGAGAGCATTGTTCTAGTTTATCTTTTCTTTGAAGAAAAGAAATGGGAAAGTGCTTTGTTTTCACAAAAGAACAAGAAAAATGGTTGCATGAGAACATAGAGGCACTAAATCCACTGCAAGGAAAGGATTGTGCAGTTAATGTCGAGACTGTTTTGTGGCTGGAAGCAAGACAGAAGGATTTATACCAGTGTTGGAAGGCAAAGAAGAGGGATTGAGCTGTAGATTTCAATTATACGACAGGTCATGAAACTGGTTCTGCCAGGTTTATTGTGTGAAATGGCCAGGACTTAAAATAAAAGAACCAGCAGGGGGAAAAAAAATGTGTTTGTGCAAGCTATGATGGTTGGAATCTTTGCAAGTATCAGGATTTGCTGTTGTCCCTTAATGACTGTCATTACCTTTTTGAAAGAATAGACCTTAATTAGGGCCGAGATCTGATGCACTTAGCTCTATCATGACTTCCACAGTCTCTACAACAAAGGAGCAGGCAAGGCAATAACTGGAGAGGCCAGGCCTCCCTCAGGCAAGGCGGGCTGAGGGCAGGTTTGACATACTCATTCTTAGGCCATATGGGTACAGTGAGAAATCATGCCTTTGCCAAAGACGCCTACGTATCTGCTACCTGCTACTGCTTGAGTCTTTCTTTAGGAGCTGTGTCTCTTCAGCTGTTCATAAGGTTTTCAGTGACTGAATGTTTGGAAGTAGTTCGTCACTCCTTCTTCCTAGTCTGTCTTCATCTGGAAGCTCATCTGAAACCTGTCCACTGTGGGTGACCCTGCTGCTATTTTAAATACCCATGGCATAGCTTCCAGAATCACAGCAATTCACAAGCCACCACAGTATGACAAACGGACAGACAAGTCTCTTCAATTTGTGTGATCGCTTCTACTGGTTGTGATCTGAGTAACAGGAAGGAAGTGTCTCCATTGGTTGCTTACTACCACCCCATCTTGGTGGGAGATGGAATCCCCAGGGAAACAAGTGGGGAAACCCTCAGTCTAAAATCATTCTTAATCTTCCAAGTGCTGTTACATGGTTGTTGTTATTGTTAAGTGCCATCGAGTCGATTCTGACCCATAGCGACCTTGTATTGGGTTTCCAAGGAGCAGCTGGTGAGCTTGATGATCACAAGGTCTTAATAGTCCTGGGCATGGAGACCAGAAGTGTACTAGGTCAACACAAGTCGTTTCCCAAGCCTGATTTATTCTACAGATCCTAAAATGAAGCACTTTATTTTTTCCTATTCTATAAGCAAAGGCATTTACTAGTCCTTGCCAAGTAAGGGTTACTATGGCTTATTTGTTATCATTTTTCACCTTTAAATTTAAAATAAATATATATTTCGTGTTTATAAAGAGACAAAATAAAATGAATGGTTAAATAGGATGTGATTAATGTCTTTGGGGGAACAGTGTGAGTCTGTAGGATCAGCACTTGACTGCGAACCACAGGGCCAGCAGTTTGAGCCCACCAATCAGTCCTAGGGAGAAAGATGAGGCTTTCTGCTCCCATAAAGACTTACAGCCTCAGAAACCCTATACAGGAAGGAACCTGAGTCGGAACCGATTCGATGGCACTTAACAACAGCAGTGTTGTTGGAACCTTCTTTGTTGCCCTCCTGATGTGTCAGTCAGAGAAGGGTAGAACATTGAGTCTCTGAGGAAAATAGGAATAATGAGGACATCTTTGTCCTGTAGGACAGAAATCAGCAATAGATAACACCTCAAATAAAGCACTAGAGTTTCTCTTCCTGTGTTTTGTCTGCTCCTCCATCCTGTCACTTTTACACGTCTTTCTTGCCTGCTTTCCAGGATGTGTACCACGTATGACTTGCTAGCTGTGTCTGGGATGCCGCTTCTCTTGTAACAGCGGCAGCCTGGGTACAGACTCTCTCCATTATTAGAAGCTTTCCTGTGAAATGAGTGGCAGTTTGTACCATGCTTGCTCTTACTCCCTTCTAACTTGGCACTCCTGATGACACCTCATCCCTGTTTGGTTGTGGGGTAGTGTAGCCTCTAATGTCAGTTTCCTTTCTCACATTGAGAGATAGACTCAACTAGGCCTTGGGGTGGGTGTCATACTACCAAAGTATTGGGGGGCAGAAATGGGGACAACAATATCTGGAGTATTCAAGCTTTGCTCCAGCTCCAAGGGCAATCCAGAGTTGGTAGTGGGCGCCTCAGATATACCTGTGGTGACAGTTTCAGGCATACTATTGGAGTCATTTGATTTCTTGCTTTTGTTCTTTTTGCATTTGGGAGGCAAGTGTGGGAGTCTGAAGGAAAGCGGTGTGTATTGGTCAGGAAGCCACTCTTCAGGTTGAAACTGTGTTTGCCTCATTGTTGTCTCTCCATGTTTCAGTGTGAGGAATCCTGGTTTATATCTACTGAGTGACCACATTTTCTGCTTTGCTGCAGATCGGGTGACCATGAAGAGGCCTCTGTCCTTCCTCTTCTCCATGCAGGATTCAACAGGGTACGTAAGATAATGAGCCAGAACGTCTCTTGGGTGCAGACTTCTTACCCCCAACTCTCCAATCACAGCAAAATAAAATGGCTGCATAGCAGCCCTGGTAGCATAGTGGATTACTAGTTGGGTTGCTATCCACCAGCTGGTTAGCAGTTTGAATGTACCAGTTGCCCAGTGGGAGAATGATGAGACTGTCTACTCCTGTAAAGATATATAGCCTTGGAAACCCTATATAAGGTTCACTATGAGCTGGAAGTGACTCCCTGACACATAACCACCACCACCATAATTATTAAGGGAATTAAACGGCAAGACTTTGAGGACAAGGAAATAATTGTGTTCTAATGGGATCGTCCTGGTGTGGTGCTATAGGATAAGCACTCGACCATAAGGTTGGTTTGAACTGCCAGGTTGGCAGTTCAAACTCATCAGCTGCTCCTCAGAAACCCTGTTACAGCATCTCTGTGAGTTGAACCAACTTGATGGCACTTAACAACAATGGGATAGTAACAAGCAACTGCTAGTCAAACCTTTTTATTTTTCTCTCATAATTTTATATATTTTTCTTTTTCTTCTTGTGATTTGGATGGAAGTTTCCAGAGAAACTTGGTTTTCCATTCAACAGTTCATACACATTTTGTTTACTAACATTGATTGCAATCCTCACAATACAACAACATTCATCCTACTTCCTCCCGGTGTTTCCTGTTTCCATTCCTTCTTCTGCATCCCTACCTGCCTTCTGAACTTTATCACTAGGCAAATGCTGCCCTTTTGGTCTCAAATGATTGATTGTTTGAAAGCGATATCTCCCTGGTATTACTGTTCACCTAATAGACTGTCTATTGTTCAGGTGAAAATTGAGTCACAAAGGAGACTTTGGTTCCTGGCTTGACATGTGACTAAGGGCATAGACTCTGGGGATCTACCAGTCTCTAGCAGATCAGTAAGCCTGGTCTTTGTTATGGTTTTGAATTTTGTTCTATATTTTTCTTCCAATTCATCCAGGACCTTCTATTGTGACCCCTTTGAGAATGACTGGTTGTGGTAGCTGAGCACCATCTAGTTCTCCTGGTCTCAGGAATAGCTTCATATATCTTCATTACAGATACATAATGATTGTTGTTGTTGTTAAGTGCCGTCGAGTCGATTCCGACCCATAGCGACCCTGTGTGGGGTTTCCAAGGCTGTAAATCTTGATGGGAGTAGAAAGCCTCATCTTTCTCCTCTCTTATTCATTCTATCAGATCAAAATTCTGTAGTCCCAGCATAATTTCATTTATAGAAACACAAGTAAATTAAGTGTATATATGTGTGTGTGTATGAGTGAGTGAGTTTGATCGTATATAAATAAGTCCATAAAAATCAACATCCAGGGAACCATGTTCACCAGTATCCAGGTAGAGCTTATACCATAGGGATGGACACATGACAGTTGAAGGCTGAAGTTTTGCTTGGAGGCTAGTTTGTGTATGTGCCAATGGAAAAGATGATAGAGTGGATGTTAAAAAGGAGTGTATATTTTTTAATGGAGGTCCTTGTGTAGTACAAATAGTTCACTCTCGACTAAAATAGAAGTTGCCAAGGACTTCATTCTTCTTGGATCAACTATTAACATTCATGGAAGCAGCAGTCAAGAAATCAAATAACGTATTGCATTAGGCAAATCTACTGCACAAGACCTTTTTAAAGTGTTGAAGAGCAAAGATGTCAGCTTGAGAACTAAGGTGTGCCTGACCCAAGCTGTGATATTTTCAATAACCTCATATGCATGCGAAAGCTAGACGGTGAATAAGGAAGACCGAGGAAAGAATTTATGCTTTTGAATTATGGAGGAGAATATTTAAAGTGGTATGAACTGCCAAAAGAACCAACAGATCTGTGTTGGGAGAAGATCAGCCAGAGTGCTCCTTGGAGGCCAGGATGGCCAAACTTCATCTCTCATACTTCGGACATATTGTCAGGAGGGACCATTCGCTGGAGAAGGATATCATGTTCCGTAACGTGGAGGGTCAGAGAAAAAGAGGAAGAACCCCAGCGAGATAGATTGGTAAAATGGCAGCATCAATGGGCTCAAGTGTGGTAACAATTGTGAGTTTGGCCCAGGACAGGGCAGTGTTTCGTTCTGTTGTGCATAGGGTCACTATGAGTTGATAGTGACTCAATGGCACCTAACAACAACAACAACAAAGGTTGGTAGTGGAACCCGGCCAAGGGGTGCCACAGGGGAAAAACTCACTTCCCTAAAGATGACAGCCAAGCCAAGTAGTTCTTCTCTGGTAACAACAGGTTTTGTAGTTTGTATTATTAAAAGAAAACAAATCACTATAGGAAAATATGAAGGACCTCACTTTATGTGTTTGAATTTTGCTTATAATAGCATGTATTGTTCCTATTAAAAAAAAAAAAAAAAAGATATCCCTTGGGAAAATAATTGGGTAGAGATCCATCGTTGACTTTTGCACCTTTTGTTGACAATTTAAACTCAAGTGAATGATCTGTAACATCCTGTGACCTTCTGGTTTAAACCATAAACATTCACAAAGAAAAGTTATTTGAATGACTACTACATGAATGACACATTGAATCTGAAGAGTAAGACTGATTACTCCAAGTAGGCTTCTCAACAAAGTAACTAAACTAGACTTACCATGTCTCTCAAGGTCTTTTGGCTCAGTGAGATCTGAGTCTCAAATGCATTGTGTGTGATATGCCTTTTCACAGGCAACCTTCAAAATATGGTACTGCCTTCGCCTTGTGAACTGTGAAGATTTCTGTGGGTGCTTTAAGCCATGTTTTTGCTACCTTGAGGTTTAAAAAAGTCCCTTCTTTCTTGGGTACACAGAGACACGTTTGTGATGCAGTTGTTTTGTGCTTTGGTGTGTTTTAGTATCAAAGTAGCAGTATTATAAAACTCCTCAAGGCACTGCTTCAAAATGTGCAATAGAAAGGAGTGTTTCTAATTAGCAATATTCTTTACTTTCCCTTTGTGTCATCTCTTCTCTCCAAGGTTGACATTTGGTTCTGAAAGCTGTTCTTTTGTGCTGCTGTATCTTGACAGACAATGCTTTTGATTTTTGGAATGGAAAGTTGCTAAAGGACAGTGGGCAGAGAATTGTGTAGCTGTGACTTAACTTTCTTGACTTACTCATTTGCTGAGAAATAACCTAAAATGAGTCACAGGTTTCATAGGTCTTCTGTTCCCCAAAGTTGACCTTTTAAGTCTGTGTTACCTCAGAGTGCAGAGACATAGGTTTTCATCATTACCTGGAGACTGGTTGGAGATGGCGAGTTGATACCTGAACATTGCATCAACTAGGACTCCAGTAGATGCTATGGAGAATTCGGCTTTATGTAATTCTCCAGTGGGTATGGAGATTGGTGTAGTCAGGTGAGATCAGGTCGTGTCCTGAGGGCAAGCTGTGGAGAAACAATTGGCATGCTTTGGGAACAAACACTACAGTAGTAAGGGAATGTCGGAGGGAAAGGTCCACCGTTCCCTTGTGCACATTTTGTAACCTATCCATGCTGCCCTGAAAGCTTCAGCTCTCTGTCCTGTTATGTTCCTGGTTTTCACAGTCAGCCTCTTTGGGGCAGCATAGGAGACAGCACTTCAGACCACTAGCATTTATGATGCTCAGTGCTATCAGAGGCTGTTGCCAGCTGGGTCCGTGAACCCTACAATAGTCTGAGCTCTTCCTGAGGGAAGCTCGTTGTGCCTGCAGAGGCTTCCCCAGTTTCTGTGGTGTGAGAGCTGCTGAGGCTCATCTCCAGGTGGCTGGTCTCCTTTTTTGGGCAAAATCCTGCTGCTGGCAGCTCTCTACCCAAGCACCCTTCTAAATATGCCAGCTATTCTTGCCTTCTAGGAGGGTTGTTTCCCATCTCTGAGTTGTTTTGAATGCATTAAATCATTTGCTGAAACTCAGCCCTGTGTTGCTAGCTAATTGGCCAGTGCGTCAGTCTGTGGTCCCTTAGTGGGGATCCAGGAGCAAGTCATGCATCCACAGCATTGGTAGGATGAGCTGTTCTACAGCAAATACTCTCTGAGCCCTTTGTTCTCTTATGTAGATGCTGTGTGCACCGATGTTCTGGTTGCCTGGAGGCTTGTCATAGCCAACAACTCAGGACAGAGAGATTGCAACAGTTTTTTTCCAGTTTTTTAAATCTCAACCTTTTTGAATCTTTCAATTTGAGATGATCTTGTTCAGTCCAGCGAGGATTTATGGCACACTTACTATGTGCAACACAACGTGATACAAATGTAAGACAGCCCTCCGCCTTTGAGAGACTTCCTGTGGAGGAGGAAGTGGGGAGCTGAGATTTATTATTCACCAGGAATGCTTTTTGGTGATTTACTTAATCCTCATAGACATATTTCATCTTTTCTCCATTTTTGCAGAGGAGGAAGCAAGCTCAGAATGACTAAGGAGCTTGCCAGACTCATGACAAAAATCAAGATGCAAATGCTTGTTTCACTCTAACCTCCATATTGTTGTTGTTGTTAAGTGCTGTCGAGTTGGTTCCGACCCATAGCAAAACTATATAGGGTTTCCGAGGAGCGACTGGTGAGCTTGAACTGCCAACCTTGCAGTTCAAATAGCTTTGCATTCTGGTGCATTAATCCACAGCGCCACACCAGGACTCCATATTGGGTCCACCAAAATAGTATTTCTCAAACTGTTCCATGGAGCACGAGCAGTCCAAAAATTCTTAGTAAGAGTTTCATGAAAAAGGCTTCTGTGACCAGATTAAAACTGGGGGACCAATGAAGAACCCACAGAACATACCAGCAGCACTGCTCCCGAGCTGAGCAACTGTGTCTGAAAGTCCTCTGTTAGAGACATTTACCTCAATGTTTATCTCAATACGTCCAAAGCTAATTTTATCACAGAACCCTCCTTTGTGTTTTATAACACAAATGTTATATATCTAAATGTTTTATAGCATGAGGTAACAACTCGCAAAGCTTTGTTATAAGAGAATATATCATCTTTATCCATTCCAAA